ACCCAAGCTGACCTTGAACTAGTAATCCTCCTGCCTCAGCCTTTCAGGTAGCTGCAATTGTAGTTGTGTGCCACCAGTACCTACTACATTTGTTTTTAATTAATATATAAATAATAATAATGTTTATACATAATAAATATATATTTATTTATAAATAATAAATTTATAAATAATGCTGCAGTGAACATTTATATGTATCTTTGTGTGTGTGTGTGCAAGTATCTCTATTAGTAAAAATCCTACAAGTGAAATGAGTCAAAGTGAATAAGAATTCAAGCATTTTGATAAATACTGATAAATTCTTCTTGAAAAACAATGTGCTTTGTTTTTTCTGCCATGTAGTATATCTTAGAGTTTCACCATATTAGTTTATACATATTTATGTAACTTTTTATTATACAAAATTCAAACATGGAAAAGTTGAAATACAAATAGAGCAATATATATATATATATATATATATATATATATATATGCTAGCATTTTTAAATTTACTTTCTAAGCCTATCATTATCTTTGTGGAATGATTGCAGAGAAAGTTACTGTATCTTGATGACTGTACATATTTCAGCCTGAAGTTCTAAGAATAAGGATATTCTTTATATACCAAAATATCATTGTCACTCTTCAGGAAATTATCAGTAATTCTAAATACCATCTACTTTTAAAAAAACTTTTATTAGTACGTGTTTGTATTGCCTAATGCTTTCATTCCCTGTGTAGAGTTGCTCCATGTGCAGAACACGTCTTACTTCCCTTTTATCATCCGTGTCCTTCCCTTGCTTCCTCTTCTGTCCATCTCTTGATCTCATTCACATTTGAGAAAGCTCTATCTCCCTACTTCCTATTATCTAAGTTTTATTTTGCTCTTTTCTTATAACTCCTGTTTCTTGCTTAAAAGAAATTATGACATTTAAGCTTGTGTGTCTTTTTATGACAATGGCTTTATCAATTCATAGTCAAATTTCCACATTCGTCCAGGAATGTCTTTTGAACCATGTTTTAAAAATCAAGATGTAGTTGAGTTTAGACTTTGCTTTAATTGTTCTATCTGGAGTTTTTGTTTGTTTTTTTACTCAGAAACAGTCCATTCAACCTTTGTCATTTGTGATATTGAGGTATTGATCCTTGTTTTATATTATTTTATGGAATGGCTCATGTACTGAATTTTTCTGAGTATTTCCTTATGGTACCTTGTATTGTCCTCTGTGAATCCACAGTGCTTTGTTTTACTAGTCTTTATTTTGGGAAGTATCATCTGAGTCTAAACTGAGACCAGGGCCCTCTCTTTGTGACTGCCTGCTCTCACTTTGTGCTTCATCATTAGCTCTGGACACTTTGCAGTCATTGTCATGCTGTCTCTTGAGGAATGGTGTGAGCTCTCAATTTACAGCATGCACCCCTCCTTCATACATTACTGTCACCTCAGCCTGTCCTTTCTTCACACATTCTGGGAGGCCAAGACTAACCCTTCCATTTCTTCTTTGGGTTCCATACCTTTCTGCTTTTTGCTGATCTTCTTACTATCTGGTACCTCCTGTCCTTCTTGCTTGTTCAGCTTCTTCCTGTTAAGTTGTTTTTTCCTTCAATCTATAAATAAGTTTTCATATTCTTACCAGTTATCCCTTCATATTGCTATTATCCTTTAGTCTTGGCTTCTATCTCTCTCTACCCATCCCTTCTTCTGGAAAGTTTGCAAAGCCAAGTACATAAGATGTCCCAATGGCATGCTTGAAGAAAATATTAACATTTCTATGCATTTAGAATTTCATCCTTTTAAACTGCCATTTTTTTTTACTTTGCTTGTTTGTTTTGTGGCACTAGGGATTGAACCTGAGCCTCATATATGCTAGGAAGGCACTCTACCACTGAGCTACATACCCAGCCCTTGTTATTTTATTTTGAGACAGGGTTTTGAATTTGTCTTGAATTTGAGATCCTCTTGCTTCACCCTCCTGAATATCTAGGACTACAAATGTGCACCACTATGTCTGGCTTCATTTTTCTGTTTTTTAGAAATGTGTATTTGTATATGTCTATCTTGTAATGTGTAGCCATATGCGTATATCATCTGCCTCCCATCTCTTCTCATCCTCTGCAGCTCTCTTTGAAATCCAGAACACATTCCTACATATATACAAGCATCTTTGCCAGGTTGTCATACAAGTTCAGAATGGCCCCAGCTTCTTATATGCCATCTCCTCTAATCGCAAGTTAGCGAGAAGCCCCGATCTGGTGCCCATTTAGTTTCCTTATTTTTGCTACCAGTATGTTATTTTACCATCCTGTCTTTCATCTCTACCATCCCTTTCTCTCTGACAGTTCCTCTTTACCTGTTTTCTCTTTACTCTCCCTATCCCTGATCAGCAGTGACAATTGAACCCAGCTTAATACTCTGTGTCTCTTCTCTCCAAGGTAAGGAATTCTTGAAATAGGAGGTTTAGGCATCCCTCAGAGCAAAGAAACCCTGGTGGGGACAGTCTCTTGACTCCGATTGAGGTCTGTGGCCGTGGTGGCTACAGAAGGCCAGTGTATTAGTGGCAAGTGACTGAGGAGCTGGGAGCCCTGTGCTGAAGTGTAAGATTGGCCACTGTGTGATGTGGGGCTAGAGTGACAGTGGGCAAAGGAGGCTATGAAGTGAGAATCATCTGAACAGGAAGGAGTGGGCTGAGTCACCAACTGGAGAGACAAGTGGGGACATGTGCCAGTCCTGCTGTTGTCCCTACAACAGCTCCTGCTGCCACTACTGCTGTTCTGCATTTGTAATAACAGCAGCTCTTCCCCATCTAGCAGATTCTATGTGTCAGGCTTTTTAGAGGGCAACAAGCAGAAATAGTATAGTCAGCCCTGTGGAGCCATGAGTTGTACATCCTCATATTCAACTAGCTGTTAAAAATCTGTCCTGAAGGTGTATTGACTCCTGTTGTCATTGTTCTCTAAACAATGCAACATACAAACTATTTATGTGGCATATACATTGTATTATTTACTGTAACTCATCTAAAAATTAAAGTATGCAGGAAGATTGCATGAGTTGTATGCAAACGCTATGTCATTTTCTATAAGGAACTTGAGCAATTTTGGATTTATATATCTTCTGGGGGGTCTTGAACCCAATGCCCTATGGATAAGGAAGGAGGACCAACTGTACACTGGCTAAAGCCATAAATTCTAGAGCAGATGGCTTGGATTTGAATCCTGGCTCTGTTACCAAATGAGTTCTCTGTCTGTCAGGAAGCTATCTAATCTCTCTGAACCTTGGTTTCTCATTTCTTTGTTTTTTTAATTTTTTTTTTTACTTTCCCATTTCTAAAATGATAATCAGGACAATGTAGTTATTGTGAAAATTAGTTTAAATAGTTAACAAAATATTCATGATAAGTACATAAAACATTGTATTTTTATAAATAAAAAAACACAACAATATTATAACATTATGATTACCTCTATTATACAGACACCAAATCTGGGGTTGAGAGGTCGTGACTTGCCCAAGGCTATGGAGTTACTAAGCAGCAGAGTCAAATCTAAATCAGGGAGAGGCAGTGGGCATTGCAAGCCCAGGTGAAGAATTGGCAGCTGAAGTTTGAGAGGTAGGCAGAGGGACCGCTTGAGGATTCCATGGGACTATTGCTCACAGAGTTTTGCCCCAATTCTCTGCTTCCTGCTTTGAGACAGACAGCAGCCTAACTTCCAAAGGCCATTTCAAGGAGAGGTCAAGATTCTAATTAGCTGGGACTTTTCCTCATTGCTTTTTTTTTCTGAGTGACCTCAGTCAAATCAGTTAACCTTTGTGTATTTCAAGTTTTTCATATTCCAGATAAGAGATGGAGTAGATTATGGGTGTGAAAACATCTGAAAAGCATTAAAGCCGTCCCCAAATTTAAAATAGTAGAGCCTTCCACAGCCACTTCACTGAGGGTGGAGTGTGGGCCTTTGAGTCTTCTATACCGACCTTGTGCTAGTAACGTCCGGTGTCAAATCTCATAACTTGCCCCAGCATGTTTAGAAATTCTTGGAAACTCATCTCCTTTTCTGAGTTTTTACATTCCCTTCTGTGAAATAAAATTGCAGTTGAGCATTATCTAGGTCACTGAGAATGTTTTCCTCATGTGGATTCTATTGTCAAGAGCCAGAGCTACTGTTTGTGTCCAGGGTCTGCAGTTGTCCCAGCTCTTATTCTGGAAGGTCTGCCATTTTTTGGTTTTACCCCTTGGCACAAGGCAGGCTTGACCTCCTCTCATTGGCACGCAGTCTTGATTCTGGGCCTGTCCTTTAGGGAACAGAGAGGCAACTGACACCTTACCCATTGTCTCTCTAGGCTTCCTTAGTGGAAGAGGAGGGGAAAGTTAGGAATTAAACATACACCATAGGATAGACTTCTTGCTAGCTAGTGAGGGTCCTTCCCAAGTGTTTCCATTTTCTGCCTCCTGCCAAACTCAAAAGCAAGCTCTCCATGTCAGTTGGAAACATTGGTGATCCAGGGCTTCCCTTTTGTGGGAAACTGGAAACAGTTGAGAGTGTTAGTAGGGTGTCAGGAGCACGGGGAAGTTCTTTTTGGCAAGCTATGCCAGGATGGGCCTAGCTTCTTGGTCTTCTCAAAAATAGAGTTCATCAGGGACTGACACCCAGGTATCTAATGAGAAAACTCATTATTCTTGGAATCAGTTATTTTCACCAGAAAGTAGGAATGATAAATTCTCCTTCGTATGTTCTTCATGACACATGAGAAACTTTAGAAATAGTCTGTAGTTTGTCAGCCGCAGAAAGTGATACAAGATTGTGTTTCTTCAAGTATATTCTATAGAATGTTTTTTTTTTAAAGTCACTTACTAAATAAATTTTGAAAACACTGGAGAAGCAATGTTAAGTAGCTTTCTCTACAGAGACCACTCAAATCCTCCTCTAGGGTTACAAAAATGTGGGTTGTGAAGAGCATCAGAAGTTATCGCAGTGAGTAGTTCTGTTTTGAAACACCTCTCTCCATCTTGTCCTCACAGCTCCCCTTTGAATTGGAGATCTACTACATTCAGCATGTCATGCTCTACGTGGTGCCCATCTACCTGCTTTGGAAAGGAGGTAAGGCTAGCAGACTACATCTTTGTGCCACCTCCACACGCCTCTTCCTCTATTCTGCGTAGTCACACCCTCTTGCGTACTTCCTGGGATCTTGCACTGCTTCTTGGCTGAGTCTTTTCAGCATGCATGATGTCAGATGTCAGGCACTGAGGAGATGATCATAGATGAGGCCTACAGAGAGTCTGGGGTTTTCCAAACCAAACTTTGTGGGTGAGCATGGTGCAATTGCCTGCCTGTCATGGGACCTAGGCTCTGAGCTGTTGGTGTTGGCTTGGGTTTGCATGGCACTCCCCATACTCTGTCAGCTTCTTATGAGACTTGATCCTTCTCAGCATTCTATTCCTAGAAGACCCCATAAATGGAAGACATTCTTTTTCACTCTTATGTATCAGGCTTTTTGTATTGGTTGCTGGGACAAGATGAACACCTCCATACCTTACCTTAGTTAGCAATGGTTTTCCCCTATCACACTAAAACAGCATAAGGTCACTTGGACCTTTGAGCTGACTGGAACGTGGTCTGGATCTCTACAGGGCTCTGCTGTTTCTTGGCAGTGAAGATTTTCTTCCTATACCCTTTTCCAATCAATCAGGCCTCTTTTCCATCAATTTGTGTATTCTTTGAGGCTGCTTTTATCCTGTGCAGCCACTGGAAGTCTAATGCTGTCAAAGAACACTTGGTGCAATCTGCTTTAAAAGCAGTCATTTTCTTGCTGAGCCTTCAGGGAAATCTGAAATTGTGGTATCCAGGAAACGTGTGCTGTTTCTCAGCACAGCAGCATCCCTGAACAGAACTAGAGTACCAGACTGTAACCACCCATTGTTCCTGGCTTCTAAGCTGTGTGATGGGACTTATGGACAAATCTGCATGTCTGTAATTAAAACTGCTTGTACTCAGAGGTCACTATAAAAAGTTGTCAGGTAGCTGGACTAAGGCTGGTCAGATATGAGAAATCTCACATAGCCATCCTTCCCTCCAAATGAATAATCTGGGAAGCCACTCCCTCTAGAGTGGGATGGTTCTTTAACAGCCTTTTGTGGGATCTGTTAGCTTTGCCATTTTTCGAGAGCTGTGCCAAGGAGGACTCTGAATTTTAATTCCAATTTATTTCCTACTCTTAGTCACTCTTTCCCCTTCCCCTGGCACCTGGGCCCTGAAACAATGTTGTAGCAGTAATAACTATAGTAAATATCAGTGACTCCTTTTCATTAAGTGTTTACGTTCTGCAAGATATATGTGTTAAGCATGCTTTGTGTGTTTTCCCATCCTGTTGAAGAGTTCCTATAGAGGGGAAAAATCAAGGCTCAGAAACATTATGTTCCTAGTCCACAGCTGTAAGGAATAGAGCTGGGGTTCGAAGCTTTACCCAAATTCTTTCCAGACCAGTACTCTTTCCTGTGCCACACTGTCCAGAAGGCCCAATCACATCAAACTGGGAGTCTTTTTGCCCTGATTGAACTATTCACCTAACATGCATTTGTTGAACACCTACTATAGCGCTGTACGTTAGGAAATCAGAGATGAACCATAAAGACACAGTCCTTCCACAAGGAGTCTGTGCCTATTGTGGAAGACCCACAATCATAATGCAGTGTGATAAGTGCTACAGCTGACAGTGCAGGAATAGAACACCATTTCCAAAGCCTAGGACACTTTTGCTTTGTCATTTCTGGGAGGATAGTTGTGCCTTCTTATGAAGATCTGACTGGTGGTCCAAATCCCAAACTGGTGAGCTGAGAATTAGTAGGGCTGTAATGAGCAAGATGATATACTCTTGTTAATGCCTCAGCTCGGTAGAACAAGTAGATTGATGTCACAAAGCTGCTCTTTGACCTTGTAGAATTTGGTGAGCCCCACCCACTTCTATCTAGTCAGCCTAGAGCTCTTTGAAAGGTTTGGCTCCCTTTCTAGCTCTTTGCTGCCATCTGCTGTTCACATGGGGACTAGAAGCATGGAGAAAGCTCGATTTCTTCCTAAGGCTGTTTTCACTTGTGGTCCCAAGCCTTTGACCTTCAGCCTTATGGAGGGAGACTGGATCTAAGTAGGAGGAGAGGATGTTATTTCCTTGTAAACAAGAAAGCTGAGAGTTTATGGCTTCTGTTAACCAGAAGAATCTTTGGATTTTCCAGAAATAAGTGGCTTAGCAGGTTTTGATTAAAACAAGACAGCTCTGCTGTAGATACCTCCTTTGCCTGAGCACCCCATTTTCCTGAAAGGTAATGTCCTCTTGAGCACAGCATGTACGTTCTGTGGTTGGGTTGTGTGTGGGGGAGTGCTAAGTGGGAATCTTGTTCTGTGGGCGCCGTCATAGTCCATGTGAATTCTCTTCAGTGTTGCTCTCCTTTTCTTTGTTTCCTTCCCTCTCAACTCGTTACATTTGGCTCTCTAGAACTATATTTTTTACCTTATTTTGTGACAGTGTTTATTTAAACATTTTTATTGGATATGAACCAATTATAATTCTGTATATGTGTAGGACATGCAGAGATTCTATAAAGTATGCATTGTAAAATAATGGAGTCACACTAACATACTTGATCTCCTGGCAATCACAAATAGTCCTTCCTATACCTTGCCTAACACTCCCTCAATAGAGGTGGTTCTTTCTGTCTTTCCCTACATACTCCCCAGCATGACACTGTCTCTTCTAGATCATTGTTTTAGCTCTACTGGGAAAATGCTTGCTCCTTTACTGTTCTCTCTGTCTCTTTTACGTCACCACCATCACTAACCTCTTGATCACTAACCTTCCATTTCAAGAAGTCTGTGGTATGTGGTTCTCCATATATCCATTTTAAGAGTAGCCAGTAGCCTGATTCTTTTAGTGAAGACCTCTGAGCCTACCCCAACTTCTCAAGGTCTGGGCTTAAGTTACAGGGACTACAGCATCCCCTTTTCTTCAGCCATCTGGGCCTCATCTTCCCCTGAGACTCCACTGTTTCAGATCTTAAGGTCCTGTGTTCCTCTCTTTGAATCAGATTTCCACTGCTTTCAGCTTCCTTTCTGCCTACACACTTTATATCACCGTGACCAGTTACTGGAACTTTCTCCTTACCAGCCCCTGAAAGTGCCTCACCCTATTTTCTCTTCCAGTTGGGCTCAATGTCCAGTCCCTTTTCAGTGTTCTTAGTGTTAGCCTACTGGAGAAAATGACCTAAATCATTCTGATTGGAGTCACTAAGCTTTATGTCTCTATTATCACTGTGCTCTAAGCACCACTGCTTAAGTGTTGAATCTTTATTCAGCTCTTCCACACAGTTCCCTCAGAAGTCAGGTATTAACTTTGTCTACCATCTTCAGGCTTCCTGTCCACTATATTCAAGCTTCTGCCCACTCTAGCCAGTATATGCCCTCCTCAACAAATGACAGACAGAATAGACATTTTTAGAAAAGAATTCCCTCTGTAATTTTCTCCACTTCAATAAGACTTTTTACTCATATTCATTCTTTTATTCTTTCTTCCCCTCCCAGAAGGAGTGATATTCCACTTGTCTGTGGCTAATCATATCCCCTTGTGGTTAGCTCCCATCCCTCCTACCTCCTCTGAAATTCATTCCATCCATGAGTCCCTTGTTTCCTGGAACCTTAAGCCAATCCTTTTTTAGCAACTGGGTTTTCAGCCAATAACCATGCTCCAGGCCAGGGGTGGCGGGACACACCTATATTCTCAGCAGGAGGCTGAGGCAGAAGAACTGATGGTTGGAAGTAAGTTTGGACCACACTGTGGGATCCTGTCTCAACCAAAATAACAAAAAAAGATTTTTAAAAGATGTGCAAATCTTTCCCATTCTAAACAAGTTTCTTTGAACTCAATCCAACTGTCTTCTTTGCATTACCACCAAGCTTCTCAAAAGAATTGTCCAAACAGTGTCTCCCAAATGTCAGTTCTTTGGGCATGACGATTTTTGCCTTCTCTGTGTAAAGATCTGTACTATTATGTTCTCTCCCTCTCTCTCTCTCTCTCTCTCTCTCTATATATATATATATATATATATATATATATATATATATCCATAGTTACATCTATTGACTTTCTTTTTACGAAACTATATTTATTCTTAAGGAAAACCACATATTTGTAAAATCATAGCTTTGATTTACTGGCTATTTTAATGCACTTTAAATATGTAACTATCAAAAATAAAATGTTTATCTGCTTACCATTTCAGTTCACTACCTGAACACTTTGTAATGTAGTTTGGTGTGTTAGGGAGATAATTGTGTCTGTACAGAATGAGTCCCTTTTCTCACTTACTTTTTATTCCTCAGAACGTTGTAATCTGAACGCACTACCACCTCCAAACCTGAGCAAAAATGCCATTTCTTTAAATTGCTAAACAACATCCTTCCAACCAAAGCTAATGACCAGTTTTTATTATCCATCAAAAATTCTGTTACATTGGATTAATCCAACTTCAGATAAAAAATATTTGAAAAAATTAAAAATAACAAATACTGGTGAGGCTGTAGAGAAAAATAACACTTCTACACTGTCGGTACATGTAAACTAGTAGGGATTGTAAACTAGTACAGGCATTTTGAAAATCATTATGGAGATTCCTCCAAAAACTAAAAATAGTAATTCTGTTCAATCCAGATACTCCCCTTTTTAAGCTGTCTTCCTGAAAGAGTTAAAGATATCATATTACAAGGATGCATGTTTACCCATGTTTATAGCAACACAATTTACAGTAGCTAAATCTTGGCCCCTTATGTCTATCACTAAATAAATGGCTAAAGAAAATATGGTATTTACACACATTATGCACTACTTTGCCATAAAGAAAGATAAAACTTAGGGAAATGGATGCATCTTAGAGACTATAATGTTAAATAAAATGAATCAGGCATGCAAGCTTAATCTCCTATATGAGAAATCCAAAGTATAAATAGAGAGCAAAATAAAAGGTAGATAGGAAATAGTGAGGTAGATCTTTCTAAAAGGGGAAAGACTGGCAAGCGTGAAGTCCTGAGTTCATTTCCTGGCACCAGAAAAATAA